CGCGCTACGCTGTCGTGCAGGCAACGAAGCGCGACGTCGCCCGCGTCGAAGCGTGCCGCAACATTGTCGATGCCATCTCGGGCGAGGTATCCCATCTTGCCAGCATCATCCTGCGATGACGAAGCGATGGTGTCTAGCTGATTCAATTTAGCTTCCGCAACTCGCCGCTGCGCAAGAAGTACGACAGCCTCAAGTACAACCTCAAGAAACTCGAACATACGCTGTACGAGCTGTCGCTCGTGGGGCCGCTCCGGGCGTTCAACCTCTCGGCGGGCGACGACGAGCCTCACGGCGAGAACGAAAGCTCGCACAGCTAATGCACATTGAACCGACAAGCATGAATGGATCTATTCGTCCATGTCATCGTCATCTTCTTCGTCCTCGTCGTCGTCTTCGTCGTCTTCCGCGTCAAAGAGCATGAGGCGTCGGTCGGCTATGGATAGGACGCCAAGCACACCGCGTACGCCGTTGCCAACGACCGCATCAAAGATGGCTGTCGAGAGCCCTCGCTGCTTTCGAAATGTCGTCACCTCGTGCGCCTACCCTCGTGTGTTGTGCTGGCTCGTCCTACATACTCGTACATACCTCGAGTGTCTCCAACGCGCTGGTCGTCCACGCCACATCGGTCGTCCATGGCGGAGCAAATGCAACCGACGCGAGCGCCACCAGCGACAGTCGCTCTACATCGTCAAGGTCGTCGTGCCATGCGCAAAGTCACTTGGTGATAAACGTACGCTCCGAGCCAGACGCGTGGAGAAGAGCGAGCTGGCTCTGCCCGTCGCGCGAGTAGATGCACTGGTCAATCTACCAAACTTTGTGAGGCGGCATACAGCTGCTGTGAGCAACACGTACGAGTCGATCGGCGGACGGTAGTCGAAGCACTGCCATGTGCCAACGCCCGTTGACGCAGCGCCCGAGCCCGACCGCGCCGGTTAGCGGAAACACAAGGAGCGGCGCTGACGCGAGCGTCCCCATTTCAAAGCTGCTCGACGACGCAGTGACGAGCACTGGCGACGCAGGTGGCCCCGACGGATGGCCCAAGCCGTTTTCGCCCAAAAGTTGCGTGCGCCACGTCGCTTCGATCGCAGCGCTGAGCGCGACGAGGCTGTGCGACGCGTATTCTTCATCGCCGTCGAGGGCAAAGGACGCTGACGTGTCGAGGCGTCGGCTTGCCTTCCACGGACACTTGCCGAGCATCTACCGAGAACCATGTAAAATTATAACAGTGAGACGAGTGTACCTCGGCGACGGGGTTCCCCAACGTCGTTTCCATCTCAAAACCATCGGCTGGATCATGATGGCTTCGCGTGCGGTTGCAGTGAGCGCGGAAGGCCATGGCGGCGGTCGTGGCGCGAAACAAGAAACGACCGAGGCGCTTCGTATCGGGCAGCGAGAGCTTCGTCGCGGCCTTGGGGCGCGCCGTGCCGTGGGCCGCCATGATCGTCCCAAACCACCGAAAGAGCAGTGCGTAGTCCAGCTCCGTCTTCCGCAGCGCAATCTGAAGCTGCTCGAGCTTGAGCAATAGCACTTCGACCATGGCAATCATGGCCGAGAGGTGCGCCACAGACGCTGGGCGCTACCGAGCACGGGGTGAGAGGTCCCTCTCAGTGGATCAATGCGTCAGTACGTGGGACGGCGCCGTGGACGTCAAGCCTCGGAGCTCGCAGAGGCGGAAGAGCACATTAGAGGCGGCGACGCGGAGCTGCTCGTGGATCTATGACGCGTGTAGGGGCAACGGCGCGTGGCAAGCAGTGTCACACCAGAGTCTGCATCGAGTGACAGGCGTGGAAGAAGGCTTTTTGACTGCGCTGCAGGCTCTAGTACCAGCCAATCGCACCTCATTGCCCATGGACGCGAGCGACGCACCTGCTCTTGCATGTCTTGAGCGAAGAAGTTGGTCAGCGCCGGAAAGCCAAGACCCGCGCAGAGCAACGCATACATGTGCGCCTATGTGAATGTGATGTTTCAAGGACGCTCGGGGCAAGAATGGGTATTACCTGAGGTACTTCATACGACGAGTACTTTGCGTACGCAGACGAAAGCAGCCGCAACTTTGCCTCAAAGACCCGCGTTCCGTTGGTCCACTGCGTACATTGAGCAACACGCAACGACGACGTATGGACGAGGTTACCTCGGTTGTGAGCTGCTTCAAGGTCGTGTCGAGTGTGTGCAGCAGCTTTTGGACCTCGCGCACGTGGTGGGAGACGACAAAGAGCTGGCCTTGGTGCGCCGATAGGTCGGGCAGCGCAAGCGACAGAATCTGATGTCTCGAGTCCTCATGTGAGCCGATGAGAAGCGCCGACAAGTCGGACAGAAGGTGCAGCTTGGTCACATGCTGGACGCCGGCTGGCTGC